CATTATTTTTATTATTATTATTATGTTGTTGTTTTGTTGTTGTTTTTGTTGTTGTTGTTGCTGAAGAAAGTTCAACAATATTCTAATGGGAAGTGGCAATTGAGAAAGCTACGCCGAGATTGTGACCAGAGGTTTGGGTCGATCCCTCGACTCGCCTACTAGTCTATCAGGCTCTACGTGTTGGGTATATAGTCGCTTTTAAGGACAAGCGGGCTATCCCAGATTTGGGGGGTTTCCAGAAATCTTGACCTACACCAAAAATGGACATTGCCCTACCTGTAGAGGAAGTTTGGTTTCATCGGTGTGTATATTTGTTTAGTTATAGAGAAAACTCTACTTGTCTTTTAAAGAAACTGAACAAGGGTCCAAAAACTTTACCTTCGATTTACTCAAAACAGCATTTTTCGGGACAGCCCCCTTGTGCTTAGAAGCGACCAATTGTAGCTGCAGTTTTAAATAGCAGGATTTCAGACAAAAGAAGTGCCTGACCTAATTTAGCGGATACACGGGTAGACTCTGACACCGACGATAATATACATTTTTGTATATTATTATCTTTCTGTAGCTGACAAGATTGTGGTTTTGATTGTTTGCTAGAACATTTTTACTTCGCTTTTATTCTCGTGCGAACCCAACCCTTGGTTAGAATCCCTAAGACAGCAACTGTGATTATTTGGGTTATGTGTGTTTGCATGGATATGGCGTTATATTTTGGCGATATTTCTGTTGCGTTTAATTCTTTGGTTTGCTTGTAGAAAATTCGTTTCGTTGCTGAATTTGTGCGTTGTTGTGCGGTACATTTTTTTAAAGCACTGAACGCACCATCAAAGTTATTGACTTTATTTTATTTTCAGCTTCGTCCAATGCTTCGATTGTTGTTTTTTTAATAAGTTCGGTTACAATTTTGTCTTTTTTTCTCTTTGTCGTTGTTGTTGTTGTTGTTGTTGTTGTTGTTATTGTTGTTGTTGTTGTTGTTGTTGTTGTTGCTAACTTGGAAGAATTTTGATTGTTGTATTGTGTGGTGTTATTTTTTTAAAAAAATATTTTATAAAAGTAATACATTATTTGACAATGTCTTTGGTTGATCTGATATTTTGAATGAAGGTTTGTACGTAGAT